CGTCATGTGCAATCAATCCTATTCTTAGCATTTAGTAAATATATTAATTTGTATGATAAACGTATTTTTAAACAGCATTGGGTTTTAATTAGCGGAAATTATCTCCAACTTTCTAAGGTACTACAAAAGTATATGGGTACTCACCTGGAAATTTAGGATAAAAGCCCTCTAAAATGACAGATTTGCCTTTGAAGTCTTCTAATATTTTTCTAAATTGTGCCATACCGGAAATCTTTACATTATTTATTTTGGTGATGATGTAGTCCGGTTCCATTTTTGTGTTTGCTATGATACTTCCGTTTGTTATACTTATTACTTTTACACCGCCGGGTGTATATATCGCTTTTTCATAACTGTCCAATTCTCTGACTTCAATACCAAGTTCATGAAAAGCTCCATCAGCAGCAATTCCTATAAGATCTGTAGTATTTAGTTGATTTCTCAAAATAGGAAAAGCAGTTTTTTTATCTTTACTCCTGATGTAAATGATTTGGAGTTTTTCTCCCGGTCTGTATTGACCCAAAATTTCCATAAATTCAGAAGTATTATGTATTTTAATATTATTGACGCTGATGATGACATCATTGGAACGAATACCTGCTTCATAAGCGCCTCCATCCTTGGTCACGTGTGATATCAATACCCCGGAAACTTCACTCAAGTCCATTTCTTCGGCCATTTTATTATCAATATTTTCGATATCCACACCCAACCAACCTCTTTGCACTGTTCCAAATTCTTTGAGATCAGCCACTACTTTCCTGGCAAGGTTGGCAGGAATTGCAAAAGAAAAACCTTCATATCTTCCGGATTCGCTCATGATGGCAGTAGAGACCCCAACCAGAAGACCAGCCGTACTCACCAGAGCGCCACCACTGCTACCCGGATTAAAAGCCGCATCTGTTTGTATAAAAGATTCTATACCTTGATTTTCAAGCAGATTGATACTTCTGGCTTTTGCGCTTACGATACCAGCGGTAACAGAAGATTGGAGCCTGAAAGGATTGCCTACTGCCAGCACCCACTCTCCTATCCGTAGCGAATCAGAATTGCCAAAGGATAAAAAGTCTGCATTTTCCACTTCTATTTTTAATAAGGCAAGGTCAGTATTTTTATCTGCACCGATAAGCTTGGCAATGTAGGTCCTGTTATCATTAAGGGTCACTTCGACCTTTGAAGCAGAATGAATAACATGCTGATTGGTGACAATATACCCATCAGAGCTGATAAGGACTCCCGACCCCGTATTGGAATAGTTTTGGACTAAAAGTTCATCCGGACGAATGATAGATTTAATAAAGACCACCGCTTTCCTGCTTGCCTCAGCTGCAGAGATAAAATCTGTAGGATGGGATGATCTGAAAATCCGGTTCATTTGGTCAGAAAATACCCATTCATGCTCCGCCACCATTTTCGCTTGCTTTCTTACTTCATCCTCAGATGAGATATTTCTTACCACTCCGAAATGATATAAAGCTATAAGACAAAAAGTAGCTGTCAGCGTCAAACTAAGTTGATAAAAAAAATATCTTCTGTCTATCTTCAATTTATATATTATATTTAATAAAAATATGATGCAAATATACATGTTTTGATATTTAAGTGTATAAAATATTATTACTTTTGAGTTTTTATAACATTGATTTAACGCACAATTGGAGTTTTTGATATAAAATATAACAATCAATGAAATTGCATTTTCATAAATATCAGGGCACCGGCAATGATTTCATCATGGTTGATCAAAGAAATCGACAGTATCTTCACCATGATGATCATAAAACGATAAGGCAGCTTTGTGGCAGAAGGTTTGGGATAGGTGCAGACGGACTTATACTACTTGAAAATGCTGTGGATACTGACTTCAGGATGATTTATTATAATGCAGATGGCGGACAGGGCTCTATGTGTGGTAATGGAGGTAGGTGTATATTAGCTTTCGCACATGATCTGGGAGTTTTCCAAAAAGAATGTATATTCTCTGCCATAGATGGTGATCACCAAGGTAAAATAGATGAACAAGGCATTGTGAGTCTCCATATGCAAGATGTAAACCATATACAAAGAATGGACAATGATACTTATGAACTCAATACCGGATCACCTCATTATGTGACCTTTTGCGATGAAATACCAACAAACATAGCAACTGAAGGTGCCAAAATCAGGTACAATGAGACATATAAAAAAGAAGGCATCAACGTAAATTTTTCAAAAATCATCGATAATGCCTTAACCGTTGCCACCTATGAAAGAGGTGTGGAAGATGAAACTTTCTCCTGTGGTACAGGCGTTACGGCAGTAGCACTCAGCTTCGGAGTGAAAGAAAATTTACAGGGAAAAAATATCATACAGATAACTACAAAAGGAGGCCATTTGAAGGTTGAATTTGAAAAAATACATGATAATCAATTTACAAATATCTGGCTGTCAGGACCTGCTGAAAAAGTGTATGAAGGGGAAATTTTGCTGTAACAGGCTCCAATTTTAAAATTGTAACTGGTTTACAAATGTGATTGTATTTCCATTTGTAGATAGTTTTTATTGACTTGCCTGATATTACAATAGTATTTTCAATGAAATAGAATCATTTCCTCCCTATTACCTAAATATCTAAAATGAGATTCGTAGTGAGAGTTTCAAATACAACCTGCCTGCCTAAGCAGCAGGCAAGGCAGGTAAAATCAGCACTTTTAGCGACAAATCATACTGTGTGCAGCTTTCGCTGTAGCACCGCTGCAGCATAGCTGCACACAGTATGGTGCATGACTGAACGGTGCGACAGCAAAATTGAGAAGTAGCTCAATTTAGTGAAGGAACCGTGAGCACACCTGACGGCATGGTCATGTTGTTTCATAGGTCAGAATATAGTATTTGGAGGTCGTAATAGATTATCATTTTAGATTTTTAGGTATTAATTAAACTTAATGTTATTCCGACTGTTTTCAGGTCTAATCGTATAGCTTTATGATAGGATGGCAATTCAGTGATTTTCAAGCAGATGATAATGATGATCCTTTTGAAAGATTATTTAAAATCTTCAAAGATCTGTTGGTACATACTTCAGGAGATGTATCAGAAGCATTGTCATGGTTGACAGAACTTGACAAACACTACAAGCTTACGGATAAAAACTATGGTATTGCAGATTTTATAAAGGATCTGGAAGAAAAAGGTTTTATTTCTCAAGGTGGAAAAGCTAATTTTGCTGGCCATCATCCAACTGCTAAAATGGAATTGGCACTCCGGAGGCAAGCCTTGGATGATATCTTTGATCAGCTTAAAAAATCAAAACATGGCAACCACACTACAAAACTTACCGGACAAGGAGATGAAATTACTTCTGAGCTCAGACCATTTGTTTTCGGGGATACTCCTGAAAATATTGCGCTGACTGAGACAATAAAAAATGCCCAAATCAATCATGGGATCGAAGATTTCAAATTGACAGAAGATGATTTACAGATTCATGAGACATATAATAAAAGCCAGACAAGTACTGTGCTCATGATTGATATATCACACTCAATGATCCTCTATGGGGAGGATCGCATTACACCGGCCAAAAAAGTGGCGATGGCACTCTCAGAGTTGATCATCACGAGATATCCTAAAGATACACTTGACATCATTGTATTCGGAGATGATGCCTGGGCTATTGAAATCAAAGACCTACCCTATCTTCAGGTGGGACCATACCATACCAATACAGTTGCAGGCCTGGAACTGGCTATGGAAATCCTCAGAAAACGTAAAAACCCCAATAAGCAGATCATGATGATCACAGATGGCAAACCTACCTGCATCAAAAAAGGAAAACAATACTACAAAAACAGTTTTGGTCTTGACAGAAAAATACTCACCCGAACCCTGGGTCTGGCTGCCAGTTGCAGAAAAATAAATATCCCTATCACAACATTTATGATAGCCCGGGACCCTTATCTGGTCAATTTTGTGGATCAGTTTACCAAAGCCAATAATGGAAAAGCTTTCTATTCTTCCCTTGAAGGACTTGGTGAGTTTATTTTTATGGACTACAAACAAAAGCGAAGGAAAAACTGATTCTTTTCACTTTTTTTTAGTGAAAAGATATTACATATTTAAGAGTATGTTTAAAGTTTCATCATTTGGCTCCTAGCGGCAAATTTTATTTTCTGTTGCGTTATATTTTTTGTTGTATTGCGTCAAGCTATGCTTGAGCAACCAGCTACAACTGCAAAATATGTCTTACATAAAAATAAATTTGCTCACTTTCGCTCAAACATGAAAATTTAAACATACTCTAACATGATCATTTGGAAATTTGTGGGTCAATTTAGGTGTTAATTAATACCTTTGCATATAATATCATTTTTGAATGAAGATCCTTATTTTAATAGCAGGCAGCATATTAGTTTTTTATAATCCATTTTATGCGCAGGATGCCGGCAAATATAAAATTGTAAGTATAGGATTTTACAATCTTGAAAACCTCTTCGATACTGTTGATGACACGTTGATCAATGATGAAGAGTTTTTGCCCAAAGGTGCCAGGTCATGGACACCTGAAAGGTACCAGGAAAAGCTTACAAATATGGCTTATGTGATATCTCAGATTGGGTTGCTTGATGTTGCCGCTGGATTGTCAGTATTGGGGGTATCAGAAATAGAAAATCGTAAAGTTCTTGAGGATTTAGTCATCCAGCCAGCCATCAAAAACAGAAATTATCAAATTGTCCATTATGATTCACCTGATGGCCGTGGAGTGGATGTAGGGTTGCTTTATAATCCGTCACACTTTACTGTGTTATCCAGCACCCCTATCCCACTAATCAATTATAGTGAAGGCGAAATTCAAAAAACACGAGATGTTTTATATGTAACTGGCTTACTTGATACAGATACTATACATATCCTGGTCAACCATTGGCCCTCAAGAAGTGGTGGAGAAGCAAGGACGGCACCGTACCGGAATAGTGGGGCCAAACTCTGCAGAAAAATAGTAGACTCGCTTTTTGTACATAATCGGGAATCCAAAATTCTTATAATGGGCGACCTAAATGATGATCCCACCAATGAGAGTATCAAATCGCATCTGAGAGCGGTTTCGGATGTAAAAGAAATCAGAAAATCGGGATTATTCAACCCCTACGAAGATTTTTTTAGGAGAGGGCAAGGATCCAATGCATACAGAGATGCCTGGAGTTTGTTCGATCAGATTATTGTAAGCCGTGGATTTACCAATAAGAAATCTTCAGGTTTTAATTACTTTAAAGCCAATATATTTAATAAAAGGTTTCTGGTGCAGCCTTCAGGCCAATATAAGGGCTATCCATTACGGACTTTCTCAGGTGACACCTATCAGGGCGGATATAGTGACCACTTCCCTGCTTATATCTATCTGACAAAAGAAGTCAAATGATGGCAAATTATTTCAATACCACATTAGTTTTTTGTGCCTTCCTGCTTCATTCACTGGTTGCCATACCACAAAATTCAGCTGAAAAGGTCAAAATTAAGGCTCTTTTTCTGACCGAATCTGACAGTAGAATTCGGAATATTAAAATCCTACATGATGACTTCATTTGGATAGCTTCATCTGGCGGATTGATACAGGCTGACAAAAATGGTAATTTCATAAAGTTGCATTTCGAAAATTCAGAAATGGTGGATATCGTTTCGGACAATAAAGGAAATGTTTGGGCCGCATCTGTAAACTCGCTTTTCAGTTTAAATGACGGACAGGAATACACTCTGGATCATCCGACAGCAACAATTAAGGGCATCACCTACCTCAAAGGCAGCATATGGATCGGTACCAATGCTGGCTTGTTTCAATTCAATACCGTATCTACAAAGTACAAGCTGCATGATACCAAAAATTCAAAACTTGCCAGCAATCAAATCAATTTTGTCCATGCAGATCGACATAATATTTTATGGGTAGGAACGTCAAAAGGATATATTCGTATAGAAAATGAAAAATGGGAACTTCAGGATAAAAATTACCAAATGCTGGCAACATGCGAAAATGATGAAGGGCAATGGATTGCCACACAGGAAGATATGTTTCTCGTCAATAAGTTCAACAGGTTATTTCCGGTAAAGCTTGAAAAAGATCAATATAAAGGTCGGATAAATAGTTTTGTGATCGATTCTAAGGGGAAGATTTATATTGCATCAGACATCCTGTCATGTTATGATCCTTATAAAGAAAAAGTGGAAAATTTTTCAGATGATGCCTCCATTTTAAGTAAAGCGGCACTTAGTTTGGGCTGTGACAAAACAGACAATATATGGGTTGGAACAGATGGCGCAGGACTTTATAAACTATTATTTGAAGAAACTGATGATGAGCAACTAAATAGCACATGTATCATCCAGTCACCCATCAAATGTTTTGGAGATAAAAATGGGTCGATGAAAGTGAGCGTAAATGGTGGAAATCCACCCTACCGGTACTTGTGGGAAAATGGAGAGACAACGGATGCCATTAAAAATCTGTCAGCCGGGACATTTAATGTTACCGTGTATGATCAAGAAGGTAAAACAAGTCCTGCTATGGGAAAACTTTCCCAACCAAAGTTAATTGTAATTATTAATACAGAAAGTTCACAAGTCAATAATCCGTCGAAGCTGGATGGAAAAATTGTCATTAGTGTAAATGGTGGCACGAGCCCCTATCAATTCTATTGGTCCAACAATCAAAAAACAAAAAACATTAATGGCCTATCTGCCGGGCTATATACTGTCACTGTAACCGATAAAAATGGTTGCTCCAACAAGGGTGATTTCTTAGTGAAAAGAGAAAAATACATTCCTGATCTGGAAATCTCCAAAGTAACAGTAGGTCAAAAACTAAGAATCAATGAGCTAAACTTTAAGGCCGATTCTTCCAATATTACAAGTNAAAATATTTTTCACTTCATTACTGAGAATGTAAAACAGATAATTAAAAAATAAGGCTTTGTTAAAACATCACCCTATATCCCCATCTCAATCTGGAGCCTTGTATAAATGTTAATCTTTTTGCTGTTCACTACCCTCATTCCCACGCAAATCGTGGCAAGCTCTGAAGAGCCTGTTAAGCTATGCTTGAGACGACCCACCCACTTCTTAAAATCGAAGCGCAGAACTCCATTTTATATCCCCATCTCAATCTGGAGCCTTGTATATATGTTATTCTTTTTGCTACTGTCAAAATAGGATAATCGGTCAAGATTTGCCTCTAATTGTATCTTGAAAGCATGCTCCCAAATGTACTTTGTGAATCCCAATGTATATTGTTGATGTACAGGAAATGCTGATTTGATTTCTGATGAAGGTGTTACTTTAGAAACACGACCTATGATTTCCCAATTTTTGGTTATAAAGTAGCTGGATTGAAAGTCTATGCCATGCCCTTTATAAATGTAGGTTGTACCTGTTGCATCTTTTAAGACAGGTTCTGTTACATCACGACTCATATAGCTGGACATGAATGAAAAGCCATTGTATTTAAAAATAGCATCTATCAACAAAGATTTCAGATCCTTTGGCTGAGATAAGTCATCTCCCAATACTCCTGCCTGTCTCTTTGCTTTGTGATTAAAATGGTATGCGGCTGACAGCATAAGTTTAGGTTTTTTCTCCCTGATGATATCTCCTTCAAAAAAGACTCCATCTTTGGTAAATCTGCCAAAAGGAAGTAGTTCTATCTTACTTGTATAAGCTAGTCCATTGTCCGGTGACTTTGTAAAATTCCTTCCGTCACCTGTGGTTATGGCGGATTTTATATTCCATGAAAATTGATCCTGATATTCATTGATCAAATTGATAAAAAAGCCGAAATCTCTGTCAATATTGAACCTGGAATTACTGATAGTTCTGTCGGATAGTTGCAACGCACCACTACTATTGACACGCTGTCTGTTGCCCGGTAACTTGGTTTGACCAAAACCAAAATTCCATTTTGGAGACGCTCTGTAATAGACAACGGCATCTCTTATGATATTGAGATTTTCTCCTGATTCAATTTCACCTACGTCTCCCGGGGCAAATGAAAGCTGTAAGACATACAGAAATGCAGGACTACCCACAAATCCGTCAAATCTCAATCTCAACCTTCTTATCTGACCATCAATGGCTGCTTCCTTTCCATCATTTTGGATAAAACTAAATCTGTTTTGCATCCTGAATCTGATATTGAACTGAAAGAGGCTGTCGGGTGAAGTGAGCCCAACACCTTTTCCAAAATTGTAATACGGGAGATTACTTATATCAACATCTCTTTGTTTCTGGCAAAATGAAGGTTGTTTGATTATGAAAACGAATATAAAAAGTATTGTTATTATTTTAAGTACTTTCATTTTTTGTAGGTTTTACATTTGAAGAATTTTGATTTCAACCCTTTGATTTTTTTGTCTGCCTTGGAGCGATTCACTGTCAGTCAGTGGTTCTCTCTTCCCATAGCCTTTGTAGCCGACCCTTTTGGCATCAATCCCTCTTTTTATGAGATAATCCGCTATTCCTTTGGCTCTTCCAGCAGACAGCTGGTCGCAATATTCATGAGGAGGTATAGTGTTGGTATGTCCACCTATCTCGACAATTACTGTATTATTTGCGTTGAGAAACATATATACTTCGTCAAGAATATCATAGTTTTCACTTGTAATATTGGAAGAATCGGCCTTAAAGTTTAGCTCATTGATTCTTAGTTTTTGACCTACTGTTACTTTGGAGATTTCCAGATCAGGAATGTATTTTTCTCTTTTCACTAAGAAATCACCCTTGTTGGAGCAACCATTTTTATCGGTTACAGTGACAGTATATAGCCCGGCAGATAGGCCATTAATGTTTTTTGTTTTTTGATTGTTGGACCAATAGAATTGATAGGGGCTCGTGCCACCATTTACACTAATGACAATTTTTCCATCCAGCTTCGACGGATTATTGACTTGTGAACTTTCTGTATTAATAATTACAATTAACTTTGGTTGGGAAAGTTTTCCCATAGCAGGACTTGTTTTACCTTCTTGATCATACACGGTAACATTAAATGTCCCGGCTGACAGATTTTTAATGGCATCCGTTGTCTCTCCATTTTCCCACAAGTACCGGTAGGGTGGATTTCCACCATTTACGCTCACTTTCATCGACCCATTTTTATCTCCAAAACATTTGATGGGTGACTGGATGATACATGTGCTATTTAGTTGCTCATCATCAGTTTCTTCAAATAATAGTTTATAAAGTCCTGCGCCATCTGTTCCAACCCATATATTGTCTGTTTTGTCACAGCCCAAACTAAGTGCCGCTTTACTTAAAATGGAGGCATCATCTGAAAAATTTTCCACTTTTTCTTTATAAGGATCATAACATGACAGGATGTCTGATGCAATATAAATCTTCCCCTTAGAATCGATCACAAAACTATTTATCCGACCTTTATATTGATCTTTTTCAAGCTTTACCGGAAATAACCTGTTGAACTTATTGACGAGAAACATATCTTCCTGTGTGGCAATCCATTGCCCTTCATCATTTTCGCATGTTGCCAGCATTTGGTAATTTTTATCCTGAAGTTCCCATTTTTCATTTTCTATACGAATATATCCTTTTGACGTTCCTACCCATAAAATATTATGTCGATCTGCATGGACAAAATTGATTTGATTGCTGGCAAGTTTTGAATTTTTGGTATCATGCAGCTTGTACTTTGTAGATACGGTATTGAATTGAAACAAGCCAGCATTGGTACCGATCCATATGCTGCCTTTGAGGTAGGTGATGCCCTTAATTGTTGCTGTCGGATGATCCAGAGTGTATTCCTGTCCGTCATTTAAACTGAAAAGCGAGTTTACAGATGCGGCCCAAACATTTCCTTTATTGTCCGAAACGATATCCACCATTTCTGAATTTTCGAAATGCAACTTTATGAAATTACCATTTTTGTCAGCCTGTATCAATCCGCCAGATGAAGCTATCCAAATGAAGTCATCATGTAGGATTTTAATATTCCGAATTCTACTGTCAGATTCGGTCAGAAAAAGAGCCTTAATTTTGACCTTTTCAGCTGAATTTTGTGGTATGGCAACCAGTGAATGAAGCAGGAAGGCACAAAAAACTAATGTGGTATTGAAATAATTTGCCATCATTTGACTTCTTTTGTCAGATAGATATAAGCAGGGAAGTGGTCACTATATCCGCCCTGATAGGTGTCACCTGAGAAAGTCCGTAATGGATAGCCCTTATATTGGCCTGAAGGCTGCACCAGAAACCTTTTATTAAATATATTGGCTTTAAAGTAATTAAAACCTGAAGATTT